TGGGTTCCGAACCAGCACCACACACACAAACAAATCAGCTTTGCCATATCAAGGCAAACACAGCAAATGACAACATCCCTTAGCCTCTTTGGGGCTCTCCATCCCTCTGGCCCCCAAAGCTGATGACATAGCATCTTGACACACCTGTAGCTCTATGCCTGGTATAGCTGCGGGAAGCTTTGGTCGAAGAATGGAAATGTCGTCCAACCTCAGGAGACCCAGGATACAAGTGGGAAAGTCAGATTAAGGGGGCGGGCAGGGGGCGGGGCACTGCCGAAGCAAGCCAGAAGCCAAGCAGAGCCGGTGGGCACCGCTCCCACCCCAAAGTTCCAGCTTCCCAGCTGAAGTCTGAGCTGGCACAACCCAAACCGCTATCAGAGTCCCAAATTCAGGAACACTGGGCATTCTAGACAGCAAAGGCTTTAGAGTCAACAAAGGCCATCCACCGTCCCAAAGCAAAGGAAGAACCCAGCATTCCCGTGTGATGCAGTACAGCCTGGAGTTATAAATAGCTCCTGAAAAGGTTAGCAAAATGCACAGACAATAAATCTACAGTAGGTTACTAAGGGAAACCAACATGTTCAGTGCCAGAATCTCACCTGTTGCAGCAGAGGTCTGGAAGCAACCCTGTGGCTCCTTCCAGACTCTGCTCCCTGGGTCCCTCAGGGCTGGACTGTGAGACTGTGAGGTGCAGGGATGTGGAGCCTGGTGCTGTGGACAGACACTTCCTAAATTTCACCTTTATTAAGTGCAGGCCCCATCGGAAGTAGGAAAACCTTTTTCCAAATCGCTCTCTCTGGTTCCCATAGGCCCACTCACTCTCCGTTTCCTCCTCTGGGAAAAGTCTACCAGGAAAGGCGTTATATGATGAGCCGGATGAATGCAATACCTTTGTCTTTTCCCCCTCCGCATTCCCATCGTGCTGGGCCCTGGGGTGCTGCCCCATGCAATGCAGGAGGAGGAGCTCACTGAGACTGCTTTGGGCGGAGATTCCCTTTGTCAGGGGAAGGGCCTCCCTGGCCATCCAGAGGCCTCGTGGGGCAGGCACAGCTGCTGCAGTGTCAAATGTGAAACAAATCTCATTCGTCATTGCAAAAGCTACTTCAGGGAACACCAGGGTAGGAAATATTTATAGCTCTCCTGTACGCATCGCTGAACTTGTGTGTTTAAGTCTTCACAGACATACGTAGCAACAGCGTGGCCAAAATCACACACATGGACTTCCACACACAGAGACCGTAGCTAAATCTAGAACTCTAGGGATCCCAAAGTCACCCCAACACACATCCTCCTGAGTGTGAGTATTCTGGGACCTGGAATAAACTAGGCTTTAGTCCTTCCCTCTTCAGGGTATCAAGTTCTGCCTTCCTGCCAAGGATTAAGAGATCAGCCCGGAGCCTGCAGTGAGAGAATAACTTGCCAGGCAGGCCATGGGCTGTAGGCCGTGGGCTTGTTGGGAGAGTGGGAAAATTCTTCCTACTTCCCCTTTGCTCGGAACAGGGCAGTGATAGTAGAGAAAATCCACCCTGCAGACTTCCCCCAGAGCAGACAGTGGGCCTGCTACAGAGCCAACACTGAAGGCCCAAAAGCCTGCAAGAAAGGAGAAGCTCTATGGAGGCCAGACCTTCCCACAAGGTCCCACTATGGAGGAAGGTACCTCCGTGAACTTCCATTCCAAAATGCTTGATAGTCAAAATGTCACACCACTGTCCTTGGACCACCCAGGGCTTAGCCAAGAGGAGAGGGATTCCCTCTGGCAGGGATGCCAGGGAGTAAGCTGGGACACTGAGGAACATCCCCAGGCAGGCACTGGGTGGGAACGGATGTCCAGCACTCTATTCTCATTCTGTCTCTCTTTGTCTCTCTGCTAACAGCAGCAGAAGTCAGGTGGAAAGCAGCCTCCTGCAGAAGGCAAAATGTTACCTACTCTGAACATCCCTTGATTGTTAGAGTCCTAACAGTAAACTGAGCAGATCATGCCTGTGGCTTTGAACCTTTGAACCTGACTGGGGTCACAGAGAAGGCCACCAGTAAGCAAGTAGAGGAAACACGCCAACTTGAGGAAGGTGCTGCTGCTGTTACTTAAATAGATACAGCAAGTGCCCACATGCATGAGAAAACATTTAAGAGAGAAAGCAACTGCCTTGCACGCTGTGAGCTTCCTCCTCCCATCTTAGCGTTCTGAAAAGAGAACCAACCGAAGCCTACATATGTCACTTCCTTCATAAATTCAGGTATTTCTCTTACGTTAATGGGGCTCCATACCTCTGCTGAAAAGATTCTGGTATCTGGTTCCTACTGGAATCTCTATCAACTCCAGGCAAAATGAATGCACTGTCCTTTTCTACCTGTGACCCCTTCTCCCCACGAAACTGAGTGAAGGGCAATAATTTCTTGAAGTATCACACAACTTCTTGTGCTATGCACAAAGAATACTGTCAGAAGAATTGAAGACAGCCTACAACCTTGCGGTGCAGATTCTAACTATCTACGTTTTTATTATTATAAACAAAGCAAACAGGCAGAGGCACAGGACAAGCACAGCAAGGTGGAGCTCTGAACCCAAGCCCGTTTCGTTTCAAAGCCACGGGCTTTCCTCTACTACCCAGCAGGCCTACGTGTGAGTGTGTGCGTACACGTGCGTGTGTGCATGTGCTCATGCACACATGTGAGTGTACATAACTAAACTTGAAACAGACTCATAAAGACAAAGGATCTTTAAGACCCAGTATAAAACAAACTTACATATGGCCAGGCATCTGATCCAGATACCCCCACCTATGCTAACATCAGCTGTGGAGATCTCTACCCTACATTTGTTCTTTTGTACTCCCCAGACGGTTAGCACAGTATTACGGGTACAACAGGCACTTGCTCTCATCATTGCTAAAGTTGCTTATTAGGAACCAGAGACGAAGCATTACTAACTATGATCCAAAACAAGCCTTAGCGACGAGGAGAAACACCAAGGGGACCTTACACATATCCACGCCAAGACAGTAGGCGTCCCACCAGTGTGTAAAAATAGTACTACAGTATTTGAGCCGTGTGTTGATTCTGCTTGGCAGGTATCTTACAGTCTTCCCCTCCAAAAAGCAATTATGATGACGTATGGGAAGGTCCGATTCTATGAGCGAACTCAACCTGGGGTACCTCATTGGATTTAAGTTCCCTGATTTGTACAGGTACCATACGACCCTCACTCAGAAAACCGTATCACATCTATGTGTACAACAACCCAACCAACTTGGAGGGCATCTCAGGGACCCCCCCCCCCCCCGCCGACTTCTTGTGTGGATAACCACAAATGTGGTTCAGACCCACAAACGTTGTTGCCTCATGCCCGATAGGCAGAAGGCCCTCAGTAAATGTTAGCTGGGTTTGACTGTGTGCAGAAGTTCTAATATACATATGTGCAGTTGAATGGGAGCATGTGGTGAAAAAAAAATAAAAGATCATGATAACAAAGAAAGGAAATAAGGGATTAGGAGGTAGTAAGAAAAGCTAAAATTAAGGAGAAGTTTTAAAAACCTCTTTTCAACCTGCAGTGCCGACCTTGTGTTTATCAACTGTGCTACTTAGAAGTCAGTCTAGATTGAGTTCCGCCTCCTTTCTTCCCTACCTTCTTGTGACGGTCGAAGCAGCAACAACTACTAGGCTGACAACCAAAAGGGCTCTGGAAAGCTGAGAGCTGGCTGCACGGAGTTGGGCATTTGGTGACAGGGAGTGGCGCCTGGCAATCTGAAGTGCCAGGACTCCTGCATCTTCAGATGTTCCTCTAACTTCACAGTTTTAGAAACCAAGGCACCCCCAGCAGGACACTTCAGAATCCACCACAGAGTCTGAGTACAATTCTGAAAGCCAAAACTTTGACCAGCTACAAAAAGCACCACTGCCTTTGCTGAGAGCCAAATATGTGCCAGGCTCCGCATTAAGCATTTGGGCATACAGTATCTCTACAGGGGGATGGTCCTTTTTTTTCTTTTTTTTTTTAAACTCATTTTACATATAAGGAAACTCTACTACTGGACTTCCCCCAAAGCCAAGTCCTTCAGATGCTCACATGTCCCCAAGGACTCAAGTCTGCATGACACGCAGAAACTTCTGCCTGAGGCTTCCTGTCCAGTCAGAGCTGGATCTGCAAAACTTCATCACACACAATCGTCTCAGTCCCAGAGTAAAAGTGGATCTGGGTAGGACACCGACTGGGACAGAGAGATACAGAGAAGGCCCTAATGCTGTAGAAGCACAGCCTGGCCACTTCTGATGCGCAAACATGGGCCAGAGGCTGCAGGGAGAAGGCATTCTCTTTCTGCACAATAATCTCTCCAAAAAAAAAAAACAAACAAACAAACAAAAAAAAAAAACAGACAAAGTAACCTGGCCTTCCTGAGCGGGGAAGAGAGCTCCGCCGCCAAGATTCACGCTGAACTCTTAACCCTGCCCGCCATGCCAACCCCAGGGAATGACTGGATCTGGTTGTTGTTTCTTTTCTTTTTTTCCCTGTGGTCCTCTGCTAACACCACAAATTACGTTTTCAGGGGCTCAAGGCCCAGATCGCAATGATGTTGTAATAAACATAACCAGGACCAAATGCCTTCCCATCGTGTTAGATGATGCCATTTCCCACCAATCAGACTCCTCGGGCAGGCAGACCACTCACCAATGAGGGACCAGACAGAGGCTGCGAGGGGGAGACCTGGTCATCTGCAACTAAAAATAAGGGCGCTTCACCATTGGCCTGCCACTTTGCAACAGGAGTTGGGACCCACACACCCGTTGCCAGCCGCAACGACCCACACAGGCAAAAACTTTCACAGCCCGGGGGTTCACATGGGTGGGCTGGTCAACATTTGTTTGCTTTCTTAACTGGCTGACTTGAGAGAAGACCCGATCCGGAAAGTGCCCCCGGCAGACACACCCTCCCACCTAGACACCTAAGCCCTGCACAGACACACAGAACCGGGGAGGGGGATGTCGGGCAAAGGCCGAGAACTCACCTGTCCTGCCGTGTCATAGAGTCCCAGAAGGTACTGCTTGCCCCCCACAGTGACGCTGACTGCAAAGACAGAAGTGGGGGTGGGGACAGAAGCTCACAATGACCTGGGCTCTGGGGCAACTTCGGTCCCCACCCGGACCCTCCTCTCCCAACCCAGACGGAGGCATGTAGGCGCTCCCCGGCAGATGTCACCCCCTTTTCCCTGAGTCCAGATCACTGTGAGTGGCTTAGATAGGGTGTGATGTCCCGCTGTCCGCTCACAGCCCTCAAGTCCCACAGCCACGTCCTGCACGGTACCCGCAAGTGTTTTCCCCCAGGGGCGTGGGGCACTAGGGGAGGCGGCGGTGGAAAGGTCAAGAAGGGCACCCGGGCAATGGGCAGTGGGGGGAGCAGGTCCGGGTGTGTGCGGGGTGGTAAGGGGGTGGGAGCTGCGCAGGGCGGTGGGAGGCTCAGCCTGGCAGCGCGGCCGGGCCGGCGCCGGCGGAGGGCGCGGGGGAGGGGAGCGCAGCGCGCCGGGGGTGGCGGCCGGGGGCTCCGCCAAAGTTGCTCCAAAGTTCCCGGCCGGGGAGCTGCCCCTTGGCACTCGCGGCTCACCGGCGTAGTGGTCGAAGACGGTGGGCACGTACTCCTCGGGGAAGGCGTCGTTGGCGTAGCTCATGAGCAGGCACGTCTTGCCCACCGCCCCGTCGCCCACCACCACGCACTTGAGCATCAGCGCGCCGGGCCCGTGAGCCATGCTGCGGCCGGCCGGCCTCCGGGCATGGTCCCCGCGCGCCCC